AAGCTCACCGAGGTCTTCAGCAAAGCCTCGTCTTCTTCAGCTGCCCTAGCTACAGCTTCTTATTTAGCAGCCCCGGAAGACCCTTCTCCTCCTTCACAAGCTTCAATAACCCGTGCAACCTCTTCGGCCGTACGGGAAGCTTCAGCTTCTTTGTCTAACAGCTGAAACCAAGGATCCCTCTTCTTCCACCAAGGCTTCTGCCTCTGATATAGAGCAACAGCCTCAATTTGGAAATGGGAAGAGTCTACATGAACTTCCCTATGTTTCGATTCAATGATAGAAGGGGCCCGGTCAGTAACAATTCGTTCTCGGTTGACGCCGAGACGATCGTAGTTATTGCCGACGTTGGTCTCGTCCCGCTCTGAAAAAGAAGAGGAAAAAGATCAGTTCAGCTGGGTTGGCACAGCAGAGAAGTGCGAAGTGAAAGCGGAGAAAAAGAGATAATTAAAAGGCCTCGGCCCCAGCCGAAGAAGCTTACCATCCCTAAACTTTCGGCTGAGGCCGACAGCTGCTAGCATGTTCTCTTGGAAGACATAATGCGTATCAGGGAGCCAAGTCTCCGGGATATGCTGCATTCGACCGCTGCCCCCCGGTTCGGCAGCTTGCCGAAGATGTTCTGTTGATTAAGGTTCGGATCTGGGCCGTTATCTTCGGGGGACCTAAGCTTCCCATGTCGGGATCAGGCTCGGCAAGATACCTAGGAGCGATGAAAACGCAAGGGTGGTCCGGGTCCGTGGGCGCCCTAACCCAAATCCATTGACCTCTTCAGTCCTTGTCTGAAGAGTCGTTCGGCCACATGGTTAGGTACTGGGGCCGAGACTCAATCCGGTACCACCCAGAACCGTGATTTTCGTGCCCACTTTGAATATTTGGCACTAGCCGATGGAGCTTTTTGAAGCAGTGCAGGTTCGACACATACCTGAAGAACTTGCAGACCCATAAGTATGTCATCACCCTTCGGATGCTAATGGGAGTTAGCTGACATAGGGAAATATTATAATGGATCAGCAAGTCTCGGACGAATACGTCCAAAGGGAACCTCAGCCCATACTGAAGTTGTCTTGTGTACACCCCCACATACCCCGGGGGTGGACGATGAATCCTATCGGATGCCACAGGAATTCGGCACCAATACCCGTCAGCTTCAAGGATGTCGTAAAGCAACTCAATCTGCTCGGCAAACCGATACTGTTCAGCATTCTCTACCCACCACGAGTAGGGGCGGTTCTTTATCATGGCCGAAGCTACTTCAGCATCCTCCCACTCCGAAAATCCAGGGAGGATATCCCAAAGGATGGCGGGAACTTCATCGTCCCGCCCAGAAACGCTCGGCCCCTCCGTTCCCTGAGGAGGAGCCGAAGAAATGGGAGTCGCTGTAATCCCTTCAGCAGGGTCAGACTCTGCTCTCTGTCCATTCCAGGTCCCAGTCCTGTCCCTAGGATCGGGAATCGACCTTGCTCTTTTTGGAGCACGGGCCCTACCTCTAACTCCTCTCACCATGGGTAAGTTTCGAAGAAAAAGTCGAAAAAAGGGGAAAGAGTTCAAATTCGAAGAAAAATAAGCTAAAATCAAAGGAAATTACCTCAATCTGAAGCGGAAGTTGTCGATTTACAAGTTGGTAGCAGCGAATTTCAGTTTCTAAGCTTAATACTCGGGGAATTTGCGAAGTTTTGACGCGGGTTCTTGGGTTTTCTCGAGAATTCTGGGTTTGTGTCGGTGAAGAAGTGAGGAGAAATGACGCACCTCTAATTATATCTCCAGAAATGGGAATTCTGGGAGTCCGCGCTTCAATTTCTCTTAAACACCCCACTAAGTAACCGCTAAACACACGATCGCCTGATTAAACCGCCCATTATCCGTCCAACTTCCACAATTATTTGCCCAACCGTCGTTATTTCGTTAATTACGGTTTAAATTCAAAATTTTTGGATTAATTAAATCATTTGCTTCGCTCCTTTTCTGATTAATCAAACCCGACCCGTCATCCTTCCAAATCGGGTCTGGGGGGCAAGTTGTTTGGGTCCAATTTAGTCCAATTGGGCCTAGATATTAAATGATTCAATTAAAAGCCCAAGGTCAAGGTTCAACTCTCCAATTGTGCTAAAGTCAAGAGCAGTCCACAAGGCAAGTCAACTGGGCCAAGGCCCAGTTTCTCCATATATGCCAAGGTATAAAAGCCATCAATATTACATTTGTACATTCATTCACATATACACAGAGTCTCAAGCAATTAATTCTATTGCATAGCTTTCTCTCTCTACACACTGTACTGACTTTAGCATCGGAGGGGCCTTCCTCGGCAACACCCCCGAGGCTAGTTTACGTGTGTTTGCTGTGCAGGAAACCTTCGGCCCAACATCACTTGGACCGAATCCAGTCTTCACCACTTCATCGGACCTTCGGCAAGGTCCCATTGTTTTCACCCGAAACAACATGTATATGGGATTGGAGTATGTCCATTAAATAGATCAAAAAATAATTAGAATTCATCTGCATACCCTCCTTCCCGACATCCAAACACCCCTAACCTTTCAAAATCTCCTTCAATAAGATTCAGAAAATTTATCGTGCAAAAATCCATTAATTTAATATTATCATCCAGAAAAGCAAGTCCATATAGCATATCAAATTTATCATACAACCGTTTACATAATCTATTCTTCCGGAAGAAATCAACATCAACCCAATTGAATTCTCCATTTAATTACTCAACCCACCTTTCAATAACATACTCAAACTCAAAAACTGTCACAGATATACCAAGAAAGAACAATGATTTGAATCTCTTATGAACCCTAAATTCTGGCAACACATTAACCCTAAACTACTCGGTATCAAAGTTGAATTTCAATATTATGATGTGCTCCAATAATTTGGAAAACCCTGTTTATACCAATACGAAATCCCCTTGTTGTTGCAAAGTATTCCATTGAAATTCATTAAAACTTTTTTTACATTTACATTATTTCCAATATCTTTTTCTTTTTTTACAAACCATTCAAATATATTTGTACAAAATACTATCATATTCAATTTTAACGAGTTTAATGTTCTGGAACCCAATTATAGGAAGCTAAGTGTTTTACCTGTTCGGAATAGGAGGTTCAATTATTAGATTTTCTACGATTCAATCAATTGACAAAATTAAAATAACATATTTGCATTTCACAAATTCATATTATTATCGCATTTGTAAACGGTTGAACAACTAATACTTGTAGCTGTAAATTAAAAACCTTTAAATAAAACAATAAATCATTTTCATTCTCTAATTACGATCTCACGTATGTTAAGAAGTGGGGCTGATGTAGTTTGAAAAAAACGGAGGAAAGTTTCAATTGAAAAGCATTTGTCACATTAATATCTCTTAAAATTAATTAGATGAAGGCTAATTTAGTAATTTCCATAAGAGAATTGTTTTTTTTTTTTAAGAAAATATTAGTATTTTTGTTTGTCATTGTTAATTATTATAATCAAATACAGAATATCATGCGGTCTTACCATCCACTAAAAAAGTAATAAGTATAACTAATAAACTCATAATTAAAACTAGGAAAAATAAGAAATAATAATCACAAATTTGAAGTTTTTTGCTAGATTAATTGGTTAAAAAATGACACGTGCCACATGTTAATTGGTTAAATAAAAAAAAAACAATGATCCCACCCAAACTCTTGACAACTTGACGCCAATAATATAATCTGCCACCCCTCAACGCCAGCAGTCGCCCTAACTCCACCGGTTTCCCCTACCCTCGCCTGAACGCCGCCCATTGTTACCCCTCCTCTCGCCACCGTCTCCAACTCAATTGACCCCAACCACGAAATCCGGCCACCTATACGCCGGCCGGTTGTGAACCTCCCTTGAAACCCCTCCCCTGCTCTCGAAAACACCTAAACCTCCCCTGAAACCTTCGTTTTCGTGGCTGCAATTTTGTAGATTCGTGGATGTGATTGTGGGTTTCGTGGCTGTAAATTTGGGTTTTTGTGGCTTTGATTATGGATTTCGTGGCTGCGATTTTGGGAGTAAATCTCTAATCTAGTCAATTTTTTATTTTTTTTTAAAAAAAAATCTCCTCCTCAATTGCAAACCTAAACCCAGTTGTAAAAAAGGCAGACCACCAAGAAAAGGAAGCAAATTTCCCCCAAAAACAACATACTACATTCAGAAATCACAACTACGAAAATCAAAACAAATAAAACGGCCAATTGACCAGGTTGGTAAATAAAAAAGACCCTTAGCGACAATTTGGTAAAAAAACTTACTCCGGCGACAAATTGGTAAAAAAACTAACCTTAAGCGACAATTTGGTAAATAAAATAATCTCAGGCGACACTTAACCCAAAAAATACAAAAATTTTCGATAAATTACTCGCGAATGCTTATTATAGTTCGTTTTTCTTGTTATTTTACCAACCCTTTTTTATGGAAATAACAATTTGAAGAAAAAAAATGTTAAGTATCAATTTTCACTTAAGTTTCATACCCCTTGTTAACGAAATTTTTTTAAAAAGGGGTTGGAAATAAAAAGGAATGACATGTAAATTCAATATTGTAAATGAAAAAAAAAAAATTTAATAACACAAAAAAAAATTAAAATAGGATTTTTAAAGAGTTTGTCGGGAAAAAAAATAGATTTTTTGGTCAAAATGTCGCCGGAGTTTATTATTTTTACCAAATTGTCGCATATTGTTAGCTTTTTTTACCAAACTGTTGCCGGAGTAAGTTTTTTTACCAAATTGTCGCTAGAGGTCTTTTTTATTTACCAATCTGGTCAATTGGCCCAAATAAAACCAAGAAAAACCCAAAAATAGATGCAATTGAACCATACCCATCTCACTTAAGACCAACCTTAGAAGATTGTTTAGCCATTAGAGATGAACTCTTGAAATTTCAAGGATTTTCAGAACAATTCACCAAATATTGTGATGAGAGAGAAAACCCAAAACCTAGTTTTTCAAATTTGATTAATGGGTCAGGGAAATCAAAGGCTTTTGCTGAGAAATTGAGCGTTTTGGATGGTTTAGTGAGCGCTGTTCTTTCCCAGAATACTACTGATTTTCGGGGTTTCGATGGCTGCGTGGGGGAATGAGAGGGGGTTACGGGGAGGGGGGAAAACGACGACGCAAGGGATGGGGGAGACGCGGCGTTCCAGCGAGGGGAGGAGTAGCGGACTTGCAGTGGTGGTGGAGGTTAGGGTGGAACGGTTGGGGAGTGGAGGCTGGTTAGGTTATTTTGTTTTTTTTTGGTTTTTTTTTTAAAATATTTGGACCAATTAGGGTTTGACACGTGTTAAGTGACTTGGTATAGTAAGTCATTGATTTTTGGTTGACCGGTTAAGGATTGAAGAAAGAGAAGTTCCCCAAAATTCGGATTATTCCAGAATAATCCAAAGTTGAGATTATTATTTCTAATTTTTTATTTAAACTATAATAGAGAAACAATACGTCAACCACCATAATACGAGTGAAGTGAACAAAACATTTATCTTATTAATTAAATCACAAATTGCATTACATATTAAAAAATTCCAAGCACCAGTTTCCTTCCTTCATTCCTCAAATTCTCATTTTAGTAATAAAACGATCCATCTAAACTTGATTGTAGGTGCAAATTTTTGGGTTACCATCCAAAACTTTTGTTTTCCAAAGTGCCAATACACAAATACTTCATGTGTTTAGGTCAAAGTAAAAAAAAAATCACACTGATTTCCCCTCTCTTTCTCCTCACAATCTGTTGAACATTTCTTAAGAGTTGAGTAATCACTTTACTTAACCTGAGAAAAAAGAAGCAAAATTTATCATCTTTTTTCCCGCCCCACATCAAAAAAAAACTTTAATTTTCCCTTTAAAATTACTGGTATATACAAGTCCCATTTTTTTGGGTGTACTACTCGTAGTGTGTTTAGAGTTCACACTTTCAGGGAGGAGGAGAGAGAAAGAGACGCAGTGACCCACTCTCAATGGCGCTACTACGATCAATCTAACCCCAACAAAATCTCTCTGTAAGTTTTTAACTTTTGGGTTTTGATTGAAACTTCGATGCATGCAATTTTGCTATTGCCCATTAAGTGTTCTATGAATTGTTTGTGTGAATTTCCCAATTTGGATGTACTGATTTTGATTCAATTTTTGATTTTTATTATTGCGGGATTTTAAATTATGTTCTTATTGCTTAGTTGAACAGTGTTTCCAACTAATCAATTCTGGGTTTTTCTGATTGCTGCCAACTTCTTTGTTTGATTGATTGTCCAAATTTATGCAATTTCGACTCAATTTAGAAACTACCCATAGTTTGGAATCGTTTTTTTGTTATTTTTTTTATTGGTTTTTGTTATAAATCTTTTTATATGGGTTAAAGTTGACTTCAAATTACTTGAATGTATTGCCTCGTTTTAGGGTATGAGATGGGAATTGTTGCTGTTTGAGAAAGCAGAATCATAATTTTACTCCGTATAAAGTCCTACATTTTTATTTTGAAAAATGAGTACTAGATATTTTCTCGAGGATAAAGGAAAAGTAAACACTTCTATTTAGTTCATAGGAGATGCAAAAACAAGGTTACAGATAACATAAATAGGGGAGATGGGGTTGGGGGAATCCGATTGCGAGACCTACATATGGCTCCAAACCTTAGTCTTAATCATGAACCAAGACCTTATTGGCACTCTCAATAGTTTTCTTTCTACAATTTATTGTGAAAGTTAATAGCGTTGTTCTGTTTGATACATTGATTTTAGGTGAAATTATCCATAATGCAGAGTTATGGATTCCTGAGCCAGTTGGCGGGCTTGGATATTCTTTATATCATATTTGTGTCATCATTGTGTGTCATATGGTACTGAAGTGAAGTGTACTTAGTGCATTAGGGTGCTTTCTATCCACAAGTTTGATGGTGTTCAACCATTCCTGTGTCTTTTTGTAGTGAAGTATTCGAAACTCAGCTGTCACCTGGTAATCTGGTATCATCCTCTTTTCATCTAGATCAGTCTAGCAGCTTTGCGTGCTTTTAGGTCCTATATGGTTGGGGTCTCTCACTAGTATCAAATCAAGACATTCAACTGCTGAAGATGATTAGCTTTTGACTTTATCTGAAATGAAATATATTCATCCACTAATATTGTGTCCTTGGGAGAGAAAATGCTATTTGAAATTTGATTTGCTTGATTGGATTTTGTAATTATTGAATGCATTTGGAATCGGGAGATTTGATAATGGAAGCAGGCTACAATTATGTGTTGCTTGTAATGAGATTGCAATGATTATATTCTCATGTTTGACATGCTTAAAGGTTATAATGCTTGAATTTCTAGATAGCCTTATGTATCACCTATAGTTTCAGCAGCTTTTAGTCCTTTGAAATGGGCTCACAAAGTATGTTGGAGCTTACTCTCAATGAGATCCTTCATGTCATCAACCCCTTGCGAGAGGATTTGGAAACAAGAATGCAGATAATTGAGGAGTTACGGGTTGCTATCAGCACAATTGAAAGTTTGAGAGGTAAGTCTTGGAATGTAGAAGGGTTGTATCCATTCTGCTTCTATACTTATCTGTGTAGCTAACACAATGTTTTCTTATGCTCGGAATTGTTCTGCCTTCCCCTTTCTTCTGTACTCGCCTTATTTCATGATCCTTGCTTGCCTTTTTGGACTTTAAGATCCTTGTGCTGTAACAATGGTAAAGTTTTCTGGTTTTGTTTGGGCGATTAGGTTTTTGAATGAGCTGCTCAGAAGTCAGAAAATTGTGGTTGACAATAATCTTTAAATCATGTTCGCATGAGTTGTTCTTTATCATTCTTAAGTACATATGCATTTTTTTTTAGTTTTACTGATTTGGGCTGAATTCCTGCTTTTAGGTGCTACTGTGGAACCATTTGGGTCTTTTGTGTCTCAGCTATTTTCTCGTTGGGGAGATCTAGATATATCAATTGAGCTATCCAATGGATTATACATTGCAGTTGCTGCCAGGAAGCACAAGCAGGCTTTATTAGGGGATGTACTTAAAGCATTGCGGAGGGCAGGTTATTTTCTGTAAATCATACTTGATCATCTTCATCTTCATGTCTTTGTCGCTGATAGTGAACATCTGCATATAGGCATACATATCTTGCTAATTATTGGATGCAATAGTTGCATAGTGGGCAATCTGTAGAAACTTAGGTTATGTTTAGTTCACCTTATTTTTTCTTTTTTTTCTGATGTGATCGCTTGATTTGACTAAATCTGACTTTATATGTACGCTAATCTATAAGAACTTTTCTTTTATCAAATAGGGTCTTATTAGATCTGTATTAATGTGTATTTTTTAAATATGTTCTTTCTTTTTTTTTTTTTAAAAAAAATCATGGAATAAAAGATATTTAGCAAGAATAATCGCCCACAAAATGATAAAGTAGATCTGAACTTTTTTTCTTTTTCCTAATTTGATCTTTTGAATTTTGTTTTTTGGTTTGATATGAAATAAGTAACAAGTCCTTAAATAAAGTGAACTAAACATAGCCTTAGTCAATAACTAACAATGGAATCAACAGCCTGTCACTAAAAGGAAATAGATTTGAAACTATGTTGTAGTTTTGAGTTCAAATGAGAAAAATTAAGTCAATGCAAGAACACCTAATTATTCATTATGTGATGGAAGCGTTGCCAAGATCTCTTAAAAGACAACGCATCTGTTAAATTAAAACTTGAGGCTTGTTGTCCAGAGTATATGTTACTCATGATAAAAGGAAGAGGCTTGTTAGTTACTTTAATTATATGAGTTTGCTGTTTAGTACTCCGTAATTGACGATATAGGATTGTTCAGGGGAAAAGAGTGTTTCTTTGAGATGTGAAATGAATATTACTTCATATTAGCCTTGTGCAAAGTTTGTGGACAAGTAAATTGTCTGATGAGTTTGGATCTTTGGGATGGTCTTAATATTGAACTCATATTTCACGGCCAACATTTTATTTATGAAAAATAAGCTAATTGCTAGCATTATAATTTTGACAATTGTTATGCTACGTGCTGACATATATAATGCTTACACGTGGACTGTTTTTTGTTTTCTGTGATAGTTAGCTATGAGTTCCATTTGGGAAGGATTTTTGGTTGTTGCTTTACTAAGTGCTAATATATAAATGCTACTCGTATTTTTGGCTGTTTGGCGATGGGTTTTATAATATTCTGACCTTGGCATCACTTGGGAATTGGGATCATATTGGGTTTCTGTTGTCAAACTAACTCTGATCTATGTGATGAAGCCTGGTTTAAAAAAAAAAAAATAAAAAAAAAACCTATGTGATGTAGCCTTAAGGCAAGCAACCCTGTCCTATGGGGAAAATTAAGTTTGTCTGAAAGTTGGCCATTGATAGATGATCATGAACATGCTATACAAAATCAGAAAATCTCATAGTGTACTGTACAAAAAGTGATAATTGGCTCTCCTCTTAAAAATTATCTTACGCTGAATTTACACCAGCCGCCAGGTGTTTGGGCAAATTTGCCCATTTGAGTAACCTGAAAAAATATAATCAACATGTATGAGATTGATATCAAGAACCTGAAGAAATGTAGTCAACACGTATGAGATTGATATAGAGAACTTGTGACTTTGGCTCTTGACTTTTTATGCCATGGCAGATTAGGCTGTGAGTAGCTGAGTACTGCCTATTGTGTATCTTAGTAATATAGAATATGTGAGAATATTGTCAGTGTAAGCTGCTTGTTTTTTTTACCACCTTTTTTCTTATAGGAAATGTTGTTTTACAGGCAGCTTTAAAAGATTGCAGTCTGTATCTCATGCCAGAGTTCCTATTCTGAAACTTGAGAGCAAATATCAGAACATCTCTTGTGATATTTCAATTAATAACATGTCAGGGAAGATGAAATCTAAATTTTTGTTATGGATCAGTCTTATAGATCAGCGTTTCAGGAATATGGTTTTACTGGTATGGTTGTTAAAAGTTAACTACTTGATAGCTGTTTTATTCAAGGAAAGAACCTTAGTTACAGGCATAAGACCTTTTCTTGTAGGTCAAGGAGTGGGCAAAAGCAAACGATATCAATAGTCCAAAAACTGGGACTTTTAACTCATATTCACTGTCCTTGCTTGTTATCTTCCATTTTCAGGTATGCTGTTTTATTAAATTGCATGAATAGGTCTTTGGTCTTGAGGTTTTAACCTTCATATCTTTTATGCACAATGACAATTACTTCATGCATGACTTTATATTACTGTGTTTGACTGTCTTGTCTAGTAATTAACTATCATATATGGGCATTACAGTATTCAGCAGACCTTGTAATTTATTGTTGTGCCCTTTTTGTGCAGACTTGTCTTCCAGCAATTTTGCCTCCACTCAAAGACCTGTACCCTGGAAACATCGCAGATGAACTTATAGGTGCTAAATAGTGTCTGTCTGGTATTTTAATTATTGAAACCCTCACCCGAACCCCTTCCAGCACCTTGAAAGTTTTCCAGTCATACTATCATCTTAGAAAACTGATTTCCCTCCCTTGCTACGTATTTATTGGTTTTCTTGGAAACAAAAGCAAGCTATGATGTAGAGTATCGAGACCCTTTCACTTCTTTTTTAGTAGACATACTTTTTTAAGTGAAGAAAAGAAGGGAGCAGAATGGACTTAATGAAATCACTGTCATGTTGATGTATAGACTATTGAGTTATTTCTCAAGTATCTATGGCTTGATGGTTGTTTTATATTTCCGGATGTTAATAAGAATTCTGTGTCTTTTCTAAGTATAAAGTCAACAGCGTGAAGACCAAATTCCAGTACCTTCTACGGCTGTTGTCTTGGTAGGTTAAACAACCTTATCCTTGCAATGATGATCAAGTGGTTTCCGTATGACCCTTGTAGACTTATAGTGATACACAGAAATTGTAATTTTGTTTTTTGAGATACTCTAAAATGGGTGATGATTTTTCGGATGGGGGGCGACTTAGTTTGTTAGGGGTTTATGGTTTTTGTGATATGTTTTGAACCTATTTGCATAACCCTGTTGTCTTCTCCCTATAAACGAAAAGGGTACAAAGAACAATTTTTTTAGCTATCTCTTTCTCTCTAGATTTTTTAAACGTACTAGTGTCCTTTTTAAAACCATAGCTCAATTAGTAATGTTCCATTTTAAGTTTGTCCTGGAATATACATTCACCCATAATTTTTTCTATAAGTCCCTGAGGGCATGTATTTATCTTTCTGCAGGAATAAAGGCTGATGTAGAAAGGCGTATTGAAGAAATATCTTTAAGTAATATTTCCAAATTTAGAAAAGAGAGAAGAATTAACCGCAGCAGTTTATCTGAGCTATTTACCTCTTTTCTGGCAAAGGTATGATATGTCACTTATTTGTGCCTCTGCTTCTTTGGACCTGTTGGAAGATTCACTGATTTATTCATACCTACATAATTTGGATTTCTAAGGGAGGCAATCCCTTTTTGCTCTGTTTTGAGCAGTTCTTGTTAGTCATTTCTGTATCAGGCCTTGGGAGAAGCATACACAAACTTGAAATTTAGACTTGCATCTGTTCTATGATCTTGATTTTTAATTGAAGCCATTGGTATGTTTCATTTGAGGTTAATGAGAAAAACTTTGGTATGTTTTTTCGTTGATATATGATTATCTGGCATTGGTGTGCAGTTTTCTGACATTAGTACGAGGGCAACAGAGCTAGGCATTTCTACATACACAGGCCATTGGGAAGACATAAATACAACTACAAGATGGCTTCCCAAAACATTTGCCATTTTTGTATGCTCTCTGTTATTTCCCTTTTCTCTTTCTTCTTGTTCAGCTCTATCAAGAGGGGCTTAAATTTATTGTCCTTATTTCTGATCACAGATTGAAGATCCTTTTGAGCAACCCGAGAATACTGCAAGAGCTGTTACCAACACTCAGCTGACAAGAATTGGTGAAGCGTTCACAAACACCTACCACAGGGTTATTGCTCCGAATCAGACTCGAAATACTCTTATCCCCAGTTTAGTAAGGTATGAAATTTCCCATTTCTTCCCTGGAGCGGCATTTGCAAGTCCAATGGCCAACGGTAGGACTTATCCAAGGACGAATCAGAATACACGCTATAGCAGTAGCAGCAACTCATCCCTGCAGTTTCAGCATCCGTTTCAGAGGACAAGGCAACTGAGTCACCCCAACAAAATGGCTCCACAAAAATCTAATCAAGTATTTCAAGGACAAGCATCTGCAAACATCCAACGGTTTCCAAGGAATAGCCCTCGAAGTCAGCCTAAAAGAGTGGCCAGAGAAGCTGCTATGCCATCTGAAGGACTTGCTCAACCACACACACCACCGCCTGGCCAAGTAAATAATGTGGCTACGCAGCAACCTGCTAAGGTAACTCAACGGCAAACCCAGCAAATTTGGCGGCCTAAACAATCTGATAGTTAGCAAGTCGGAACACTCTTCAGTTTGATTTGGTTTATCAGGCTATCAATGGCATCATCAAATTGCATTCCACAGTGAAGAATCTCATTTATTGCAATTAGGAATGACTAGTGTTCATACGGAACTACAGTGAACTGATGGAATATCAACTTTTGGGAAATCTTCCCAATAATAGTTCATAGAGAGGGGTCAAACATACCAGTGTTATTTGGAAAAATTCCCAATAACAGTAATTGGAATATATCAGTGTGGCAGTGTTAAGGTTCAGAAACTTTTATTTTGTACTCGTGAAATCTTGTTAGTGTTGGAAATTTTGAATATACAAAGTATTTTTGCCTAAAATTGTTATTGTGAAAACCATTTTAATTTCCCCAAATTTTACAGTATGTATCAATGTTGAAGTACTTGTAAAGCCATTGGTTTAATAACAATAGCATCCATGTATTATTAATGTTAGATAAAATAGACCATAACACAAGTAGACAAATGGCAAGAATAAAATTAATAGTATCGAATTCATTTCAGGCATAAAGTAGTGGCTCGCGAATATTTATACAAGGTATTTCTAATACTCAATGCTAAAAATAAATACATGATTAGAAGAATTTAAATTGAGGTACAGGTTATCCATAGTTACACGATAACGCCTGGCCTGTCGCCCTTTGGGCTTCTGAGTGTAATCATTCCCTCACCAATTACAAAGAACATCCCTATATAAATTAACTCATATACACTAGCTAATACAATGAATCCTTTGCCTCTTTTATCTCTATTTCTGATCATTTGTCAGCAGTCTCCCAGTATAATTCCTCAACAGCCCGCAGCAACCCCTCATTGGGTCTCATAGACAAGCATGACAATTAACAGAGCTATCAAATTTTTCCTTTTACAGACAAAATTTACTAGTGATAATTTAAACATCCCACACAGCTGGCTATCTGCGCAACAGCTGCTTATCACATGCCAAGACCTTATAGCTAGCATGAGGTCCTTCAGACGTGTCATGGATAGCTGCTCGCCATCCCATTGCCTTAGCAATTTCTTGAAGTTCTTGGACAACAGAGATAGTGTCACGAATATATACACGACCACCAGGCCTTAGAATACGATCCATCTCAAGCATGATGCTCGAAACGTTGCATCTGACATTTAACAAACAATTGGCTGAGAAAACCAGACAAACTCATAGCTACATAAACTACACAAGCATTGATCTCAAAAACTGCTGAGAAGGGAATATTAACAGCCATCAGACAAATAGAAGCAAGAGGTGAAACAATTTGCTTGCATAGGGAAAACAATTACTTGCATGCTGGAAAGTCTAAAGAATCTTAACAGCTCGCTTGGCACAATATCATAAATTGAATAAGTGGTATCATATGATGGGTAATTGATATGCAACTACTTGGGGTGATTACTGTTGATAAGAAAACAATTAATACAGATGCATACTTGGTACTCGGCACTAGGGACACTATACCACAGGACAATGAAAAATATATGCCGAAATTCATTTTCATCTATGTCCATGTACCAAACGAGCTGTAAAGGTAAGGAGCCTTAGAAAGCAAAGGAATTTGGGGCATATGTTTCATTGCGGACAGCAAATTACAGTACTAGTTGAGCAAATGACCAATAACTGATGGAAATGGGGCATACCTTTTCCGTTCAATGGCAAAGAGACCAGAGGCATGTAGTAGATCATAAGTTCTTGGATATGTGTCAAAGGGTTCACACCTGCAGAAGAATAATGCAAGTCATTATGTATCAGTATCATCACTGATATGTCAGATCCAGTAATGCTAATAACCAGTGCTACAGTCTTTTGCCCCTCATAAAAAGGGGATGTAATTAAGAAAATGCAACCAATTATTCCTAGCTGAAAATCTATACATGGCAAATTACAATCATAAAATCGCAGAATTAGGGCCAGAACATACTCTATTTTTGTACCACAAGGAGCAAAATTGCCCTCAACACCCCCCCAAATATATTTCCATATTACAATTGCCATTGGCACTAAGATACCCATTAGAAGTTTTAGGACCAATAACATACAAACGGCAACGATAATACATACCAGTCATGCATGACTCCAATCAGTCCACGGTCATTGATAACAGGCAACGTATTTGATCCACTGACAGGAATCACATTCATAACCCAGCAATCTATACCAAAATCAATCAATGCAGCTGCAAATCTGCCAGAATCATAGAAAAGAGAAAAAATTAGAGGAAAATGCAATATGAATCAAATTGCTACAATCTAAGATCAAAAAGAGCAAAAGGTTGATTAGGGTTCCTAGAGAGAGAGAGAGAGAGAGATGATACCCTCCATAGCCGGCCCTCATGTCCAAAACATTTCTAAATTTCAAATTCTTCCAATGCCAAGCACGAACATAGCTTCCTATAATTTCATTCCAATATTTTGATTCAGCCTTGAAGAGCTCTTTCCTAGATATGTAGGCATCAATTTGGATACTCTGCAGTCTATCAGGTGGGGTGTGCAATCTTTCAGGCCAGTTAGTTACATTTCCACCATAACCATTCTCTGGAAGACGAGTGATGCATGGCTGTAGATTTACATACCTAGTATGATCACAAGAACCATTGTCAAATAGTGGTTACAGGGGATACCATATGAGGATACAAAAAAAAAAAAAAAAAAAAAAAAGGCTACAGAGACAATACAACTTTTATTTGGCAAGTTATGCAGACACAGAATACTAATAAAACTAAACAACAATCTAACCATCAAGAATATTTTGACAAATGAACAAATAACAATTGTCTTCAAACCACTGAGTCTTTGTAAGAGCTCCTCAATATACCCCATTTCAGGCAGTATTGAGGATATCAAGAGTTTCACTTGTAAAAATATTCTTGGAGAGCCCCTCCAACTCTCCAATTGTCCTGTTGATCATAGACTAAGCAACATGCCAAAAAAGTCTGATTCAAGAATAAAGTAAAGTCTCATAGCCTAGGTAGCCTAGGGGGTAACATTCATTCATTTAATCAAGATGCAAAACATATTGCAGATGTCAACCACAAATTTCTTGTACATCATTTTGACGAGTTTGACAGAAGACCTAGAGATGGGGCTAAAGCATCAGTTGAGCCAGTATAGATGCCACAATAACCACAACTCTTATATTTGCACATTAGAAATAGTGAACCAAATGTTATCTAAATTATCACACCAAAATCCCATTTAAACCGTACATACCAAACATTATCTGGATCATCATCTTTGTCACAGAGAGGAGGGAGAGTTCCAGCTTCACGGCTCAGATAGCAACTGTTGTTCAAGGGCTTTTGCCATATTGCAATATATCCTTCCTTCTTCACCAGCTCCCAGCAAAGACGAGTAGTAAGGTTAACCATTTCTGGAGAAAGGGGAAAAGGAAAAAATGGCTTCAGTTCATGGAAATAAGGGACTCATTCCTATAGTAAAAATGCAAACATAAGGTGTATTTAAAAGGCAAGCTGCTCATGCATTATTTAACAAAAAGGTTATACATAATGATGATTATTTTGACCACTTTGTCAGTCATATCAGATTCCTACTTTCAGGAGTACAATTCTAAATTACTGCTATAGATATAAGACACAAAGTTCCATCTGTCAGACAAACTATTTTGGATGAGATTGGTATTAATTTGTATCAGATAAAACCCTCGTGCCATCTAACTGATAGAAAGCCTCATTGACATCGGAATACAATGAATTATTTACCAACAGCAGCAAATTTCGAACCGTTGTAGAGACAAGGATTTCTAGGTCCTTAGGCCTTATACCTTTCCATTGTTCTTCTAAAATCGGTTCATGCTTATAAACCGGTTGTGCTGCCCATGCAAAGTAGCCTCCAGCCCGCAACAACCTATTGACTTCAATTAGAAGAATTCCATCTGTAACACACACATTGACAGAAAATCAGGCTAATTAGAGACAAAATTCAAAAGTATCAAATGTTACATGAAACAGTTTCACGTAAAACTATATTATCAACTTCCATGCAAAAGTGTTCACGCATTTCTCCTCTCCTAACAATTAGCATTGTGTTAAAGAATGCATTTCAACATCCAAGAGGATCCAAACCTGGAAAACCTTTTGGAACAAGAGTCATACTCCATAACTCAAAATAGCACTTGAATGGTCTATGATGTCATCATGCCTTCAAGCAAGTCCTTGCATACGGAAAATCTTTTGCAACAAGAGTCACAAGTCATAGTTGCATATAAATTTTCTGAAATGCATACCATCATGCTTTCATACAAGACTACCTCCCACACAAACATGCTGACACATTACATATACATAAAGATTGCAGCATATTTGTGATTGTAGTCATGCATTCAAAATACTAGCCTAGAATACTGATCCATTTTCCATTTTAGTTTGTCCCTAAAAGTTGGCAACATTTCCAAGTAATAAGAGGGTGACGGGGAAATATAAAAGGGATGTAGTAAATAGTTATTTAAAATCACAGTCTAATATTTTGATCAGGTATGCATAATATTTCACATACAAGTAGCATAAATATATCCAATTAAAGATTTTCTTTCCAGAAAACCACTACATATTGACAATTCTTAGAGATTTCCTGAAGCCTTCTTCCAAACAATCAATTGAAACACAATACTATCTGCACAATTGCACCAGCTGCAGCACTGCATAACTAATCATATATAAACACTTCCCAGTGGGCCTACCAAACAGGTTGGTCAGGTAAGTTCCGGGCCAGACACATTTAAATTCTAAGCAGGTCGCATTTTTTGAAAAATAGTTAACACGATTCACAAAAGCTGCACATTGACGGCTAAGTAGCCACAGAGACATTACACATAATGGTACTAGGGAATGGCACCACCTATAAGAATTCCATGAAACTGTATACAAGCAGTGTAAAACATGTCACTAAAGGCTTAGTGTGCTTGACAGATAATCAGCAAAACTAATTATAAGCAATGTATTTGTAATGGATCATAAAACTGTCAACCAGGTACTGAGAGGAAAGAGATTACCATCACGAGTCCAATTGATTCTGCATCTTGAGCAATGTATCATATCATAAGCTTGACTTGGATATGGTAGGCGACGAGTAGTAAAGGCAGCCACCATTGCTGGCACTCCTCGCTCAAGTGCAAACTGAATTTGATTCTCGTGGACATCCTTAGGAGCAATTGATAAAGTGGTCACATTTCGTGACATTAGGTAAGCACCAAAGCTTGCAACACCGCATCCAACATCCAGTACAACACGGGTATGTTGGCCAAATGTAATTTCAGGGATCATCTACATGTACATAGTCCGAATCAGACCAAAAAGACAGAATTTTTATTTTATTTTAAAATTTTAGTTTAAATAAAGCACTACTGTACTACATCAAATGGATGTCAAAAACTGACAAGTAAAGCACCTGAGAAATTTTAAAGTTTAGTTTAAATAAAGCACTACTGTACTACATCAAATGGATGTCAAAAACTGACTAGTAAAGCACCTGAGAAATCTGATCCAAGTATTGATCAGCACCATGTATAAATTGTGTTCCACCTCCAGGAAACTTAAATTTGTCCTTATCTCTAATCATCCAGTTTTGACCGCCTTTATCTTCGACAAGACGTGTATGAGGAACATTAAAATACCACACCTGCATTGTAACGCACGACTTCATTATAAGACATCAGACCTCCTAAAGTTTCAGAGAAAAGAAGAAAAGTACCTATGAGCTTATTAACAAGCCATTAAGCATCAATGACTCGCTAAATAAAATTTGATGAATGGACGGGAAACAATAAGTCCATAGAGTGCTTAGAAAACATTTATTTCGCTAATGTACCTTCTCCATGAACAGATACACCAAGAGTCTATCAAAGTTAGGAGTTTCGGATTATATATGTTACTCCATTTTAACAGTCTTTAGGGCTTAGTTATATTCAATAAAAAAAAATTACTGTATCCATCTATTATTTGTATTTTCTTAAATAGATTATTTATTCAACCCATCATTAGATGAGTTAACATAAGATGAGAGGTGTTGAAGGAATTGAATCTTGATGATTTCTATGCATTCCTAGATACCAACACCAAATGCAACCTAAGAAAATTCTTCACAAGACCCCTTCAAGCTAATGAAGTCAATATCAAGGTAGATATTACTTAAGAAACTATCTTGATTGGTCAAGAGAAATTAGCAATTGGACAGCCCTAAAAGAGGGTTGTAACTTTCAGCGAGAAAGAGCCAGAGCTTTATTTTCAGCAGGGCCATGAGACTCCCTATGAGCTAAAGAGGTAAGGTTTAAGTATTGCATTCTATATTTCAACAAGATTGAATCCATCGTATCCCAAACACACCCTACAGGCCTACACTGGCATGGTATAATGTCAGAATCCATAAAGAATACAATTCCTAGCTCTTTTAATCATAAACCTTCCTTCATGGTCCTTAATTTCTAAAATCCATTCTCACTTGAGATGACCTAATTAATCCAATTATCCCCTCGTCATTCTTCCTTCCTCCAATAGAGAATTCCACCACTTCTACCCTAATTCACCCCAAAAAAGTACTCATATCATATCTGCTCAGAAATAGAAGTTTATAACAACATACTCTTCTGTCTAATCACCTTTGTTTGGTTCTTCCCAACGAGTCCGACTATCTCTATTCACTCACTCATACTAAACACAAGCTGCAAATATGTTTTTCCTAATCCTAAACTTGAACCAAATAGCTGACGCAGCATTCTTTAGAAGATATATCGCGTAAACATGATTCGTTGTAATCTGTTTTCTAGTTGTATCAATTGCAACTAAAATTCCAAGACATAATAACACAAGTCTCAATTAGACATTCCTAAGGCATATCATCAAACAAAATTGCAATGTAGACTAATCAAATTAACAACAGCAATCTACATAAATTTAATACTTATTAAAAAAGCAAATCTTCGGAATTTGAATGAGATAAAAACCGAACCTCATCACGGCTTCTCGGCCAAGGGATCGGAATCTTGTAATTCTTCGGCGCCGGAATCAAACAATTCAACTCCTTACCTTTCTCCGGACAATGCCGCTCAAACTTCTCACCTTTCTCCGTCGAAACCAATCGTTTAATCGCCTCTTCATTATCCATACAAGGTATATATTCTTTCAGTTTATCATTACAAATCGGAAACTTGGAAACTCTAACCCTAGTTTCCGATTTCACAACCTCAGAATCACTAGAATTCCCCCAACTCTCCACCACACTCGGATCATACTCTCCGATCTCAAAATCCTCCGTCATTGTTCCATTCTCATCAACGATCCCAAACCTCTTCACCGGCTCCTCCACCGGAGGAGGCGGCGGAGGCAACAACAATGGCGGAGACTCAGAACCGCCGCGAACCGTCGTCGAATCGGCGGAAGGAGACGGAGAAGACGAGTTAATTAGGGAAGCAACATCGAACGATTTGTTGAAATTAGGAGAGAGAGAAACAGAAGGAGAAGACGAAGAAGTGGAAGAGAAGAAGAGAAGCTGATTGTAGCCGACATCAGAGTAGTGCTTACCGATGTAGAAGAAAGCGATGGAGATGAAGAAGAGAGCAAAGATCTTGACGCATAATGGAGATTTGAGAAGGTCGCCGCCATTGTTGAGAGGTCCTTTCATGGTTGAAGGTTTGGAGATGGAGAGAAGAGTGTGATCTACTCTATATCTGATTTATACGGCAAATAGAGTGTGGGAGAGTTAATAAACAAAGAGGAGAGAGAAAATGAGGGACTTGGGAGAGATGATGGTGGCACGTGCACGTGGTGCTTTTAAAAGCACCGCTGAAATCTAAGCGGAGTTCTTCGGTGATCCGTTCGCAGGATTTTACTTATGACATCGGAAAAAACTGTCTATTCATTGAGTTAACTATTCGACATAGGAGGTTAGAGTACTCGGCTAGTTTTCTGACTTTCAGGCTTGAGACCAGAGGTCGAATCCCACCGAATATATTATTAGAGAGATTTAAATACATTAAAATTGTGTAAAAAAAAAAGGAAAATGTGTGAATAATGCAAAAAGTCAAACCGTTGCGAGTAAGTTGGGACGGAGAGAATAATACTTAAGTTACAAGAAATGATACAAAACATAAAATCAAATTACAAATCTCGTGTACATCATTGCCGAATGTATAATGTGAACTTGGACAGCCATTAGATAATTGTTCGACGGATCGTGCCCACCACACCAACGCGGATGCAAATACGAGTAGTATATAAATCCCACAGGATCATCTCATCTCATTCTCATCTGCCCCCTCTCTCTTCTATAAATACAACAACATTTTTCACAATACAAATTTCGTATTTTCTAGATTACTTTTTTTCGTTATACACACACATTTTCCAACCTTTTTCAAAACCCCCAAATTCTCCCTCTCTCTCATCCCCTGATTCACCGTCGATCACCTAATTTCTCCTCAATTCAACGATTTCAATTCAATTTTCTTCCTTAAACCCTCGAAACCCTTAATTGTTTTCCCCCCTTTCCCCCAATTTCGTATGCTAGGGTTTGATCAAAGGGTTTTACCATCGAAACCCTAGAATTTCCATGAAATTATGGTTAATTTTGATGCCGGCGAAGTTACTACTCCTCCTACAGACCTCAAACGAACGGAAAGCTCCGATCTCTCTTCCTCTAAGTCGGTAATTGAAACCGTTAATGGTTCCCATCGTTTCGAAATCAAGGGGTATTCTCTTGCCAAAGGCATGGGTGCTGGAAAATACGTTTCGAGCGACATTTTTACGGTTGGTGGGTATGATTGGGCGATTTATTTCTATCCAGATGGGAAAAACCCAGAAGATAGCTCAACCTATGTTTCGGTTTTTATAGCGTTAGCGAGTGAAGGGACGGATGTTAGGGCGTTGTTTGAATTGACATTGCAGGATCAAAGTGGGAATAAGAAACACAAGGTTCATAGTCATTTTCATCGTGCTCTCGAAGGCGGGCCGTATACCTTGAAGTATAAAGGGAGTATGTGGTATGTTTGCTCTTGATTCTTAGCTATATTTTTTTTTTAGTTTTTGGGCTATTCTTGGTTTAGTTGTTCTGTTAGTGTTTCGAGTTTTGCAAATTTGGAAATTGTTTACTATTGATGTGGAAAATTGAAGAAAATGTTGTATAATCTGAAAGTTTGGTTCTTGGATGTCAAGATTGTGAAAGATTGATATTTGGCAAAACAATGTTGGTCTGAAATTTTGCAAGTAGTTGCTTAGTTGCCCCATTACACTAAAATTTTGAATATTTAGAGTAGAGAATTAGATAATGTTTGGAAGTATGGTGCAGTAATATGGACATAACAAGTAGCAATATATAAATTCAATTTTGGTTTAATGTACAGCTTATTGCACTTCAAGATGATTGGTAGGTGCATTGTTTTATTATCTGTATGTGTGGCTTGATGAGTGGGGTTTGTTTTGAATTTGATTACAAAAGTTAGGAAATGAACAAATAATCCTGTGGTTGTAATATTTCGAACCTTGATGATAGGGTCCTGCTTATACCTTCTCTCAGTTCAGAGGCATGTTTTCTTGCCTGACCAGTCGTGGGATTTTCACAATTTTCAGGGGGTACAAGCGTTTTTTCAGGAGAGCTGCCTTAGAGCAGTCTGAGTTTTTGCTGGAAGATTGCCTGATATTGGAGTGCACTGTTGGAGTTGTTAGAAGCCGGATGGAGAGACCCAAACAGTATAGCATAAACATGCCCCCATCTGATATGGGTAGTTCTTTTAAGGATTTACTCGATAATGAAATTGGGTGTGACATTGTTTTCGAAGTTGGGGATGAGAAATTCAATGCCCATAAATTGGTGCTTGCTGCTCGTTCTCCTGTGTTTAGAGCTCAGTTTTTTGGACTTGTTGGGAACCCAAAGATGGATACAGTGGAGGTGGAAGATGTTGAGCCTTCTATATTTAAGGTATGTTTGTGTATCATTTTCATTTCAATGTTTCAAAAAAGTAAAAGCACGTGTACTGTATAAGCCCTTTTGTTTTCTTTATTGCCGCGTGCAAAAGTTAGTGCATTTTTGTTTCTATCATGTTGGTTGCCGAATCGTATCTTGCTCGTTAGCATTAAATTAATGCGTGTGTGGAATGTGTTTTTGTCAGCTTAGTAGTATAGGTATCGAACTTGATATGGACTCGATGTGTAATCAAAATTTGTTTATAAAATTTGAACATTAAGTACTTATGTGGGATTTGCATATCTTTACTAAAACACAAGCCAGTGTACATTTTGCACAAGTTCAACTTTTCTTCACACTCAATTTTTGGGTCGCCTGACTCTTACTTTTACTTTCACTTCTTTTTATCTTGTTAAGTATGGCTTACATTTAAATCTAAATTGTGTAGTTGTTAACAGTCATTCAGATTTATTTCCATTTAAAACAAAATGAGGGAATATGTGATCGGCAGCTTCAGTGCTTAATCTGCCTACTTTAGTTTTCCTTCAAGTATTTTTAGAACTTGCAAAAGTAAGGTAAGATACTAAGATTATTACTCTGTATTTACTACACAGGAAGGCCTTACTATATTCCTCATCTGGGGGCTGTTTGGTAGTAGCTATGTTGCGCCACATTGTTGCCTAAGTAGGTCAATGGTGATGATGAAGTGTCAATTTTGACTTATGTCAGTACAATGTGTGTGTGTGCGCGCGCGCGCGGCGCGTGTGTTCCCAGTATTACTATGCTTTTCGGCTTTAGAAACATAATGTGGTTTTGTTGAATTTTAATATCATGGAATGGATATGGAGAGTATGAAATAGAAGAAATTAGTGCTGATAATGATGTTCTTTGGAATTTGCTTTTGGTGGATGTGGAATTGAGCCTCTGTTATCAGGATTGTATGTGTAGTTATTCATGTGTTTTTGTAATTGAATTATTTGTAGCCTCATATAGGAAGGAAATGATTAATATGGACTTGAATTGGTAGGGGGAAAATGCCATGGATGACTGAGCTAAGATATCCCTTTTTTTTTGTTTTATTTTTAAATGTCAATTATTCTTATTTTGTGTTTATTGTGCACATAATTTTTTTTCACAGCGCTGTGCCATCTTGAAACTGGTCCATTTAACTCTCTTTAACTTGATTCGTCATCTGTTTTGCAGGCCATGCTTATGTACTTATACTCTGACTGCCTTCCTGATGTTTTTGATATAATGGGCTCAAATTCATCTTGCTCGTTTGCCATCATGGTGCAACATTTGTTGGCTGCTGCTGATCGTTTTGGTCTAGACAGATTGAAAATGTTATGTGAACACAAATTATCTGATGAAATTACTGTTGAAACAGTGACTACAACTCTATCGCTGGCGGAGCAGCACAGATGTGTGCAGCTGAAGAGAGCCTGTTTAAAATTTGCTGCAGCAAATTTGAATGGTGCGTTTACCCTGTAGAATCTGATGATCTTGTGTCAGGTTAAATCTTTTTAGATTGCTTTAATTGTTTATTCAATGGTTTGCACCAAAGTGAACAAACAGATCTGAGTGAAGATTTTCAACGTTAATATTCGGTGATGGTTTACTGTAATACATCCTGTAAAGGAAACTGAATTGCACTAGAGAGGTTGGATTTTTGGATTTCCATTGGGTTTATATAGTGTGGTTGTGAATTGCCCTGGGATCCTGTACAGGTAAACAATCACGGTTCCAGGTTTTTTTTTACTAGCTAGAGTTCCTATTCCTTGAGAGTACAATAGAAGTATAATAGGCTGTTGGCAGTATATTCATCCAGATGTTAGGTTTCTCTTGGATCAGTAAACAAGTTCTACAAAGGTTGATATAATTTTATCAATTCTGAGTTGATGTAACTGGGTAGATATTTTGAAATGCCAAATCCAACGGCAGGGGAGATATCATGTTGGAGGATGTGAAAAATAGAAGATAAGGATGGTGGTTGGCTGGTTGGCACATTATGATTGAGTGGCATTCAAACTAGGATATGGTTGCCATTAGTGGTGAAAAGTTATGTGTATAAGTGATGCTAGATATTAGGACCATGCTATTATTGTGAAGTAGCTCTTGTTTGTAACTTAGCAGCCCATATTTAATACTGGGAGCTTCCTGGCTTGGGAAGGTGCCCCCTAGTCTTCTGATTATTTTGAACTGAACAAGCCAAGCTGGACAACTATGGTAAACACCTTTGTCATGATGGTTTTGATAATATATCTAAGCTTTGTGCAGTGCTCTCTGAATGTGGTTCTCATTTCTTTGTCATTATACTTGCCTGGATCAGTTCAAATTGAGGAATGCTGCTTCAAAGAGACCAAGTGCTACTTTTTGAAGTTGCTCATATTGGTTGTTATATTATTTGGAGATGGTGCTCAGCTGACAGATGAGAGGGGATGACAGGGCAGGGGCTGGGGGTGATTATTTAAGGTTCCATGGATATTTTGATTTAGAGGTTGCTTATTTGTTGGAATATAGAACTGTGAAATCATCTAGGTTTGTTATAATGGTTGGAGATGGAGCTCTGCTGGAAGAAGATAAGGTGTGGTGGGGAACTTGGTGATCATTTAGGGTTCAATAGACTTTTTCATTAAGAATTTTTTTTGCATAGAAGCCGCAGTTATTTGAAGTAAGTGAAAATAAGGTGTGGAGAATGGAGTTGTGAAGTGGTTAGCCCTAAGCCTACTGCCCCAAACTAATATGATTTGAATAGTTAAGACCTAAAATTATTAAAAATAAGGAGAGTGGTACAGAGCCTTAAGTTGTGTTCCTACTGTTTCTTTCTTTTTAAAGGCCCTAGTATTATTTTCAAACATGCTGTTTATATATTTTGTCTTTTTTCAGCGGTGATGCATTCAGAAGGGTTCAGGTACCTGGAGGAGAGCTGTCCTTCACTGCTTTCAGAACTGTTGCAGACCGTCGCCTACGTGGATGATGCTGGTTTGCCCTTGAGCAAGAAAAGGAGCATCAGCAGCGTGTTCGCGCTAGATCTAGCTGCTGCAGATAGAGGAATTCCTGCAGAATCAGTGAATGGCAGACGTTTCAGGAGACGCCTGTAGTACAAACCCTGTCGTAATAGGGCACATATTTTAGTAACTTTTAGTGCTTTCCTTACCATCTATAGCAATGAAAATTAAGGTGGTGTTAATAGCAGGTTAACTTGGATGATGTCATGTTAATGCATGGGGTCACTAATTTACCCAGTGCCCTGGTTTCAGTATAGAAGTTTCTTCTTTTTTATTTTATTTTGTTGCATTTTTTTTTTTTTTTTTTTTTTTTTTTTTTTTTTTTTTTTTGTTCCTTGGGTAAAAGTAGGATAATGTTTTATATTTTTGTTGTAGATAGCAAAGATGACGGTTTCTGACTGTTGACTTGATGAAGCATAGATGAGAAAATATTGCTCGCAGCTTCTCTGTTTACCATATATGAATACTTTTGGTTGTCTGTCAAATATTTTTACTATTGTCATCTCCTCTTTTTGTTGTTCTTACTAATGTTATCAATGGAACATATCAACGATGACTCGACTAACCCTTTTTTGCCAGTGACTTGATGAATGTAAATGTTCAAGTACTTGTAGCAATGGCAACATGTTAATTGAAAAGAACCAGCATTGGCAAGGAAGTTGAACCATTACCTATTATATTCTGCCATGTTTATATAAGTAAATACAGATGACCAAAAAAAAAAAAATCCTTTTTGATGTCTTTCCATGGAGATTATGGAATACACACGATGATGCAACACATTTTGCCAAAGCTACCTAGCTAGTTGTATTTCTTGCTTTCGCCATAGTTAGACCAAAGGAAGGTGCCCATTGCAAACTCTCTCTTAAAAGCGACATCGCCTTTCACGGAGAGTCCATACTCAGCAAAAAGCCGATCAAGAGTTGTTTCAGGCATGTGTTGGTAGTCATCTTTGGTGTACCTTGGGTAGTGAAGTGGCATTTGGAAGAAGTAGTTCTTTACCCCATTATTCTTCTGCCTTTTGCTTTCCATGTTCTCTTCTCAATTTCTGCTTACTACCTTAATTTTTTCCCCCCTTTCTCTCTTTTGTTTATGAAATGATCACCATTTAAATTATCATTAGTTAGCTTATTGATAATTATTATATATAATAAAGTGGTTTATTGGTCTCTATAACCATGCATGAACGAATGTAAAAGGCTCAAAATGCATGAAATTTTGTCACAAAGAATGGGTGGTGTACCATATATCTTTACCTAGCTCTTAGGTGCTACATGTGTTGTACCATTTCATGCAAATTTTATGTTTTGTTATCTTCTCGAACACACACATGCTCGTAACATTTGGAGCGAGAGAAGAAGTGTACATTTGTGTGTGGGAAATACAAGTCTTACGTAGTATTCATTTGATTTTCTAGGACAATCATGTACTTGGTCTTTTGTTTAAGCTTTTTTCGTCTGATATTGAGGTAATACTTATCAAACTCGTGCATTATTGCCTAGAAATATTGAGTTTGATCTTCTTTCAAAAATTTGGATTGGACGGTTTGGACCATTACTAATCTTCTTTAATCCAATTAGGTTTAGTTCCAATATCAACTAGATTTATTTTATATATATTTTTTAATTATTTTTAATATTTTAAAATTTGGATTGAATATTTCAAGTTCAACTACATTTGTCTTTGCAACATATATCAACAAAAGTACACACAATCTGTATTTCATGCACTTATACAACATACAGCTACATACTTGTACTACATAATAGATTTAGATTGGTAGGTTCCATAAGCGTTTCTAGTTGTAACGTTGTGTCTACAACACTACAACTCATACCTTAACAAATGTGCTTTGGAGTGGAAATAATTCTCTTATTCTCCGACCCCTCTCTAGTCTCTTCTAAGGGTTCTTGCCTGATAAAATCTTTTGCAAATAGACTTTTTGGTTCGAAAACACAATTCTTCATCTCTCCTACTTTTTTAAAAAAAAAAAATAAAATTAATATTCGAACCCTCTATTATTGATTATTTTTGTATTGAATACATCACATTATCTCTAACACACAAGTTATACAATTCCTACACCATCTTAATTTGAGTCGCACAATAATTTGTGTCCTACAATAATTTATGCAATAGTAAGCATCAGAACATGACCTACAAAATTCATTACGAAGTATCAAACAAAGCGGTACAAAACGTCGCCACTTAATGCCTGCAGTATCGTGGTGTTTCCATCACAAATTTAACAGAAAATTGGCAATTCATAATCATATATCATATAATTCATATTTGATGACAACAATGTTATATGAGGAAATTACATCATCATAGAAAATAGACAAGAAATTTATTATTATTGCATGATTAATAATAATTATATGGGACCTTAGCTTATTTCTTCAGTATATAAATGGACAAGATAAAATAACTGTTCCAAACATGGACATATATACAATATGAGAATTGAGAGCCATAAACTATATGTTATGTTATTTCACCACAAAAATAATGTTACATTGCTTGAAATTTAGTTAGAACTTTCAATCATTGAATCCCTTATTTGAACCACAAGAACTCTTTACCAAATTATATATATGGGCCAAAGAAATGCTTCCTTGAAATCGAATGATAAAATTTATGAACACGTTATGTTTTAACTTTTAAGGGGTTATAGTTAGTTATTGAAATTGTTCGTACACATTCTTGTACCAAAATATTTGAGCCACGTACATGATCTCTTTACCAAACCATGTATGCATGGGCCTAAGGAAATTATTCGTACAAGCATGTACGTGAAATGCAAAATTAGGTAACCCTTCATGTAATGATTAGGGTCAATTTATTATCTATAAAAGTACTCTCTCGGTTTTTGTAAAAATAGTTCAAATTTGGAGGGTTGGCATACATCACTTTAATCACTGTTTGTAGTTCATCCATAAAATTACACTTAATCGTATGGTTACTTGTGAAATTCGTTTTAATGTATAGTTTCCGAATATAATTATTTATAACTTAAATTTATTGATAATTAGATATATTATTGATCAAAATTTTATGTTAGCATATGTGTTGGTCAAAATAGAGAATACAACAAAGCGAATATTTTACTTTTCTTATATTATGTTAATATTGGTCGTAATATTTATTAATTTATGCATGAGTTTGCAAATAATTTACTCTATGATCATAATTAAAGAGATTGGTAATGTATGAATGATCGAGAGGGGTCTGATTAGATAAACTTATGTTTAGTTTGCCGATACTAAATGTGGAGCTAAGGAAAATCCTGTAAATGAGCCCCATGAAATTTAATCCCCATATAATACTTTGCTACAAATCTAAGGAGGACTCTGAATCTCTTTTAGATTATTGTGCTTTGCTATTGTTGCAACTCCATTCAATAATAATACGAATCAGAATAATACTACTCTGTACTTTTAATGGTTGGCCTTTTAGTTGAGGGTTAAACGGTATGAAAGACACAAACGCGTCGGAAAAAACAGGAAGTTGTGAAAATAAGTGGCTAAATGGTTCTACTTTTGTTACCAAAGGTAACCACTTGGTAATGAGTGGCTCCCAATATATTTACATGTTTCTCGAGGTCTAACTGTGCAAATTTTAGACTTTAGCTTTAAGGTGTGGTTCACTTTTTTTTTTTTTTTTTTTTCTAGTCCCCACTCTCTCAATTTCAATTAACTAATTCCATATTTTTGTGGGTTGATGATGATCCATGGAAATGATTGAATGCATAAATAAGTTAGTGAATGTGACTACAAACTTTTCAGGTTGGGCTAAAGGGACCCATTTAGGTTGTTAGAAGAGTTGGATAAAGACCAATCAAATTGGTGATATAAAGCCTAAAAATAAGGTAATAATCCATACGTTTGGACTAATTTCGGAGGTTTTGTGACCCGTTGTCAAATAATCTCAGCATTACAGGGAATACATCCTATGGTCATATAATGTTGTTTAAAACTGTATATGGACAGTAGTTTGTCATATATAGGCATTTGGTGCCTTTAACTTAGATAAGAGTAAAGAAGGTGTGTACGAAAATGATTAAATTGACGATTTAAATGCAAAGTGGATGATTTAATTTGACCACTCAAATGACCACTCGGGGTGTTAAAGGTTCAGAAATGTCTAAAATTTATAATACTCAAAATTAGATCAATTACAAAAGTTATGAGACCTGCTAACAAAAAATATCGAGGTCGTAAAGGATGCCTAATTTTGGGGTTCAAATGATGAGTTTTGTTCATTTATTTGGCTATTTTGAAATTATGTTGCATTATTAGTAGTACATCCAAGTTTAGGGTGTGTATATTTTACCCCTTTTAAGAAAATATTCTAAGTCAAGTCTCCAAATCAAACAAGTACTAAAATTAGTTTAAAAAGAGAAGGTCAATTATCTTAGGAGGTTAAACTTTTAAGGGTGATACTTATGTGTGTGTGATGATATTGGACTACTGGGCTACTAATAATGTTATTTACTAAGTACATATGAATATATGATATCTTTTTCTCACTAATTAAGACTTCTGGCTACTTCTGGTACTTTGATTATCTATGAAGATTTGTTGTTTGATATACTCCCCTTTTGGAGTAAATTTTTGTCTCTTTTGGAGTGATATAGCCTTGCCAAAATCCCAAGTACTGGCACATTTATACACTGCTACACAAGAAGTTATTGTATGGTCTTGGACCATCATTTCTCAATTAGGTTTTATTTTTATTATTTATTTATTTATTTATTTATTTATTTTAGTAAAAGTGGTAAATTCCCTTGCTTTAAGAACAATTGTCTGTGTCAAAAAAAAAAAACAATTGTCAAATACTCCCTCTAGGTTTATGCCTTGATTGATTACCAATTTACCATAGACACATAATTTAAAATTTTATAAAAAAGTGAGCGAGTATAAGATATGATAGGATAAAGTAAGAAAAAAATTAAAAGGAGGTTCAATATATATATATTAAAAAAAAAGGTAAACAAAATATTTTCAAAAAGGGTGCAAATGTATAATTATTGAGTTATAAGAAGTAAGATAAGAAAAATGGATATAATAGGGTATATAAGAGATTTTTCCTTTTAGAGTCTACTCACTTAAGCTTGATTTCAGTTCAATTTAGCTCCAATCAATTTAGTTCAGTTCAATTCATCTCCAATCAGTTTAGTTCAGTTCAGTTCAGCTTCCAATTTTCTTCTCTCATAAAATATTCATTTCAACTCTATTCAGTTCAGTTTAGCTCCAATATAATTAGTTCAGTTTAGCTCCGTAAATGTGAACATGCCCTTATTTTAAAGGATAACTCATTGGTCTAAGATAATACAAAACTTACTTGACCCTTCACAACAAGTAACAAGTATCAATTTTCAACTCTAAAGAATGCTTACTAAAAGAAAATTATCATATATAATCTTAACAAGATACTCATCTAAAACAAAGAACATGTGACTATGTTCTAGTCAAGTTAATTTTCTTAAACATTGTGTTTTAATTACTATACATTTTAAAAATGTCCTACACATATTTTGTTTACTCCGTAAATATTAACTTTATAGTAACATATATGTCCAGCCCACATCTTATCTACTGTCTAGTATTATGAATCTAACTCACATTTAATTAATTGACCATGGAATTAAGCTTATCTAATTGAGAATATAATTTCTTACTATTGTACTTTTTCCCATCACCAAATTGGGCAAAAGAATAACTT